AAAAAAATAATGTAAACTGTTATTCTGATATTACATTCTATTTACTAATACTTATACCAGGAAACACATAATATCATAAGATTCAGTTTCATATACAATTCACTTTCAGCCCTTTCATACTTTCATAGTTGCGCAGCATCAGTCAAAATTACATAATAAATCAAAGAGACTATAACTATAAACAAATACAGTATTATCAATATAGACATATAATAGCACGTAATATTTCATTGTCAGAGGGAAAGAATGTCAATCACTACCTGATTAATCAATATGTACATAAGTATCGACAATTTCACTGAATGCCAAATCAATATATTTTGCACATATGTAAAGTCACTGATTTTCAGGTATGATTACTTACGAAAATTGTCATCGTTCACCAGGAATGTCTCCGACAGTATTGTATTAGAAAAAATTCTCCGTTTTTTTCCATTTTTCAATAATGCAAAAAGTTTTCCATCAGTACTCCATGAACGCGCAACACACTGAAGTTCAAAAGCAGCCTTCAACCTCTGTTGATTGATACGGGTCAAGTAGCAAAATCAGTTGTGTTTGGGCGACACCCTCAGGCCTTCAAGTTTCAAGTTTTCAATTTTTTATTTCACTTAGCCAAACTTTAGTGTGGTACAAGAGGTCACATTTGTACGAATACAACATCTTATTCTGTATAACTTATGATATAACAGGATTTACAGCATAATTAATATTTTCAATGTTGTTTCTAGAAATCTACAAACTTTTTTAAGGAGAACAGTGTTGCATATTTGAAACATTCCTTTCATTTTCACGGTCGTCGGATAATTATAGTAATACTTAGATATATATTTTTGCCTCAGTTCCGTGGTCTGACTGGTATTACAAATAAATAAATAATGGAATTCGTCGCCAGCATCGATGTTACAGAGAGGACATATTCTATTTTCCCTTGGGACACCTGTCCATCTTCTGTTTCGATGGGGAGTTTCGAATTTGATGTTCTGAATTTAGACATTATTTCCCGATCTTATTCCCCAAGCCGTTTCAAATATTCTTCTAAGCCAAAATCTTTCTTAAAAATAGAATAGGTATTCCCTCCGGACGATATTGTGACGTCATGATTCCATTTTTGAATAAATTGATCCAGTAACTTAGATTTAAGTGTAATTTTCAGTAGCGGTTTGTTTACAGTACATGTTTCTTGAAATATCCGTACATAGTTCATTCCCGAGTTACCTAGTAATTCTTTAATATTTTGCAACCATTTAAACTTAATGACGTTATTTTCGTGTAACTTGTACACGATTTTGTAAATTTTGCCTGAAAGCTTATCATGACAAGTGACAAGATTATACCAAAACATTATCATTTTACAATTAATTTCAATCTGGATAGGATATCTTCCCGTTTCTCCGTACACCATGTAATTAGCAGTGCTCCTTCTAAGATTTAGCACTCTCTTACAAAACTGTAAATGAATATTTTCAATTGAAGTGTTATTTTCAAATCCCCAAACATCTGTACCATATATTAGAATTGGCAACACTATTGAGTCAAACAATTTTAACTGGATATCAATTGGTAAAGGAATATTTCTAATTTTTCTGCGTACTGCAAATAATGCTTTTTGAGCCTGTTGAATTAGTCGTTCTTTTGCTTTGATAAAACTGCCATTGTAGTTAAAAACAAGTCCTAGGTACATAAAACTATCTTCTATATCAAGTTCAACTCCTCCAAATAAAAAAAGTTAACTGTGCTCTACTTTTTCCTTTAGAAAATATCATAATTTGGGTTTTCTGAGTATTAACTGAGAGCTCAAGGGCAGACTGTAGCCCTTCTGGCGTTTCTGACATAAGGACGGTATCGTCTGCATATAATATAATAAATAACTTCAGATATGTTCCAATGGTATCAGCACTTAGTGTATCTACTGTATATAACCAATTCACGTTGTTTTCTTGAAAAAAATCTTCTAAATCACTCAGGTACAAAGCAAACAAAAATGGTGACAATGTTCACCCTGTTTAAACCGACATTGCAGTTGAACATGACGGACATTTCAGAGCCATTTTTCACACAGGATTTCGTATTTGAGTACAAACCATGAATTACGTTGAATATTTTCCCTTTTATACCGCTCTTACGTAGTTTGTTCCATAGCCCGGCTCTCCAAACAGAGTCGAAGGCTTTGCGAAAATCTATGAACGCACAATACAGTTTTTTCCCAAATGATAAGTATGATGCAGTTAAGAAATGAAGAATAAAAATGTTATCTACTGTTGAGTACCCCTTCCTAAATCCCGCTTGTGCGCTTGTTATAATATCAAATTCATCAGACATTTATCCAGGCGGCTATTTAAAATTGATGTGAAAACTTTACCTAGGCAAGATACAAGAGTTATCGCACTGTAGTTGTCAAGGTCATTTGGATCACCTTTGCTTTTGAATATAGGCTTTATTATACCTGTTGTCCAGGCATCTGGTACTACGCCTGTATCAAGTGCAATATTAAAAAGTTTGTGATACACAGGCATACAAATATCTAAAGTAGTTTTCATGTATTCATTTACAATTCCATCTATACCGCATGCTTTGCTGTTTGCGAGTTTTTTAATCGCACCAGTAATCTCATCTAGCTAATATCGCCATTTAATATATCGTCATATTCACATAGGTTATTCTCTATTTCGAGATCATCATCATGTTCATCTATATCAACACAAGTATTCAGATTTTTAAAGTATTCATAAGATTTGTCAATGTCGATATCATATTACATGGTCTATTTTGTTATCACATATGTTATTGAGGATATTCAAGAAAGCTTTAGTATCAGTCTTAGCTGCATTTCTTATTTCTTTCTCCATGTTCTCTTGTTTTATTTTAAAGTTTTTGTTTTAAAAGTAGTTGTCGATATTCTTGGCTTGTTCTCTTTAATCGTTTCCTATTTCTAACAGTTTTGCTATTCTTATAATTCTGTTTAGCTTTATGAAAAGCCTTTCTTTTAGTACCTACAGCTATTGAAATTACTGGCTAAAGGAAGCCATAGAACATTGGTTCAACTTTTTAATTAGAAATTCACATATGAAATGGAGGAAAATCTTCGAATATATTTGGGTCAGATTAATTTTGGACACAGAAAAAAAGGATATTGCCCGGGCAACTAATACAACCACCCTGCCTCCGCCACTGAGGGGAGACCGCGGCCGGCCTTTTTTTTTTATCATAAATTCGTTCTGGACAGCACGACAATTGTTAAAATTCATAAATTATTCATAAAAGGACAAACTCGTCGGTATCTGAAGAATTATTGGACTTTTCCTGTCTGGAGGTCGGACTGCCGAACAGACAGTCTGGTGTATGTAAGTCCGGCCCACTGCGGAATCCATTATGACGACATATAGCATGCAACGTTAGATTTTCCCGCCAATTTCATGACCACCCACGTGTTGTCTGAGCCTAAACTGCCTCATAATGACGCCGAACCTTCCTAAATTGGCATTTACGGCGATTCGTATATTACAGCAATACAAAGTCAATGCTAAGCCTCGTGTGGAGCTGTCAGTGTGTTACACTTAAGAAATAAATGCGTAGCAATGCGGCCCGGTTTACCAAAAATTCGCAAAACTAACATAGAAAGAAGTGCGCTCGTTATTTTGTCTATCTCTCTAAATTTTGAGGAATTTAGTGGTACACATGACTAGTCCATCTGACTGAATTTTCCTATGAATGTTCTAGTCAGTCAAATGGACTAGTCATGTGAACCACTAAATTCACATCATGGGTTATAATAATAATAATAATAATTCGAGGTTCTTATATTCCGCTTTATCACAATCTATTCGTAGGTCGTCTCAAGGCCATTCACAAATTATTATCCGTGGTTATAGGGCCTTTGCAACCAGCCAATATCTTTCTCAACTTCCCGGGGAGCATACAGCCGGAGCTGCCATTGCGGTGCTAACAGCTAGCATTCTACAATTCTAGCACTATCCAACCACGTACTTAATTTACAGCTGAGTAGACTGGAACAAGCGGAGTAAAGTATCTTGCTCAAAGAACCATTCGGTCACGAGCCCGGCGTCCTACCACTAGACTACCGCGCGCGACTAACCCCAAGGTAGTCAGAAATAACTGACAAATCTTTTTAAAACTATTTTTTTTAATGGGGCGGAGATAAAATAGATAAAAGAAGATAATCAGTTATTTCGGACTAACTCGAGGCCGAATTTGCCCGCGGATCTCTCACAGTTTTTGATAGCGGTTCATGGATCTTTAAATGCTTGCGGCTCACAGTTGCTGGAAGGCTGTAACTAAACGGAGGCTGGTTAGCTTCTTACCGTCGCTTCCTTTAATTAAATTTGATGACCAATCATATAAGGCTTAACCAAATTACTATCCATGAATACGTACACAAATAGCAGGATGCATCTGATTTCTTAAATGATTTCAGACCACGCATGAATTATTTAAAAAAAGTGTAAAAAGATGTTTTCCGGCGTTAAGCTTACGATACCGCAGGGTTATGCAAAACCCAATTTAGAACAATATTACGCGGAAGACGATTTGAACAAATCAATTAAAAAGTGAGTTGTTATTCCAGTTGCAGAATTGTTAAATAATTGAAAAAAGTGACTTAAATATCGTGAATAAATTTAGAGGGCTTGGTTCTATCGGGGATGACCTCATCCCCGGTGTAGTTCAACGATGAGATTCTCTTCCTTTACCCACAATGCATCGCATCTGTCACGATAAACTTAACATTGTAAATATACATGTTAAGATTGACATTTCGAGGCAGGTTTCTTGCTTCATACCGGAATATGGTTCAAATGTTGGCAGCCGATCTGACAAAATGACTCTTTGAGAAGCTATCTGGATAAAATTAGCCGTAAAATACTGATCGGCGACTGCTTTTCTGAGTCTAGAAATCAAGAGGAAGCGGTGTATTTTCGAATGAAGATCAAATATGGCGGCCACACAGTCTGTGAACGTCAGTTTAGATGACATAGATCTATCAAGTTTACGGGTAGGTATTGAATCTGATGAACACACGCACAGAAAAAAAATAGTTATAAGTAAAACATTTCAAGCCAATAAGCTTGACAAGGGTTTACTTTGATGGACTTAAAGTGATAAAACATCTCCCGAATATTCAGTTGGGAATCAGCTGACGATAGCCGAATGACAACAAAGGCCTGGTTCTACCCTTTTCCTTGGGATAGAAACAAATTTGGACATATTTGGTGGATTTATTTGTTTACAAGACAAACAACATAACATTAGATATAGTGGTTCATATATTTTAAGGTTTAATGACTGTAAAACTAAATTATAATTTTCATTCGTGACTCATATGTCTCCACTCCTGTGTAACACACGTGTTTCTGGACAGGTACAAGTGGGTACACTAACAGGGGTCTAACAGTGTATTTATGTATTTTAATATTATGTTTTATATGTCACCACGTGTATCCATTTAAAAGAAATATCTCAACATCGCCTGACCTGTCAGTGTTCAATAGACCACCAAAGTTCAAATTAGTACCAGACATCTAGTTGAACCAATAAATCCTGAAGATGTTTGTGTACCTGGTGGTTCTGGTACACAAGATTATGATGTATTGGTCTTTTTATTTTTGTAATGAAAACATGCATCCAGTGACCGTCAGTATAAAGATAAATCAGAAGCAAGCTTTTGTCCGAGCTAGGGTGGTAGATTGGTAATTTAATGGACCAAAATGGATGAAACTTTATTTTCTTCATGAAAGGGATACAATTTTAAGATACAAGAATTTTAATTTAGAGTCGTATATGTTGTAATGGAAAAATTAGCTCTTGGCGCTATTATTACGACAAAACAAAGGTATAAAAACAGAATATATAAGAAAACATGCAGAAAACAACGGCATATGTAGCAAGGTTTATACACACATTTATACAGGGATATTGACTTGAACTTACCTTCACATCAGAAGTCTGCGGTTTTGTGTTTGACAATACTTCAGCATTCGCTAGCCTAAAATAGGTAGTGTGCAAAGTCAAAATGGATATATAAACATAGAAATTTGCAAGTGGGCCCATAACATATGCTACTAATAGTCAATGCAGTATTGGGTCTGATATTAAAGCTTAAGCCTTGACAATTATTTAATAGAAAACATGATTGAATGAAAGTATGGGATGGACTACCGTATATTGATAACACCCTGACATAATTAAGTTATTTATATAAAGGGATGGAGTGACTATTATTGGGGACAAAATTTGAAAATTTCAAAGCAAACATGTGCTGTACAAGGATAGAAACACCACAGTTTACATACAGACTGTGCTGTACAAGGATAGAAACACCACAGTTTACATGCAGACTGTGCTGTACAAGGATAGAAACACCACAGTTTACATACAGACTGTGCTGTACAAGGATAGAAATACCACAGTTTACATACAGACTGTGCTGTACAAGGACAGAAACACCACAGTTAACATACAGACTGTGCTGTACAAGGATAGAAACACCACAGTTAACATACAGACTGGTTGGTCTGGTGATTGTCCAGCTCCAGATGCAAAGTCTGTGCTTCTGTAACAGTTTGGGCGTCTGTAACAGTCTGTGCTTCTGTAACAGTTTGGGCGTCTGTACGGGTGCAGTTCTTTATAATGTAAATATGTACCCCAGACTACCTGATGGAATGCTGTGCAGGGTGCCTTCGGCATTGTGTTTCAGTGAGATAGCACTATAAAGTCTGCATCAGATCCGCGCTATTACAATGAGGCAAGTTAGGGTTAGTTAGTACCTAACCCACCAACAAACCAGGAGGTGTCTCCAGCACACGTACACACCTACACACTTACACAAAACACACGGAGGCACGTCCTTAAATGACCTTAGATGTTAATAGGACGTTGTAACAAAATAAAACCAAACTACCAAGAAATTTGCACTGGTTCACTGACAGTATTTTTGATATAGAAGTAGAACTATGCTTTGCTGGACATGAAGGAGTGGTAATATCGTATCCTCCAATTGAAAGCATCTGATGGGATGCTGGACTAGCTAGGAGAAAAGAGACCATGGATCAGGTGCTGGACAAGCTAAAGGAAAAGAGACCATGGATCAGATGCTGGACTAGCTAGGGGAAAAGAGACCATGGAACAGATGCTGGACTAGCTAGGGGAAAAGAGACCATGGATCGGATGCTGGAATAGCTAGGGGAAAAGAGACCATGGATCGGATGCTGGAATAGCTAGGGGAAAAGAGACCATGGATCAGATGCTGGACTAGCTAGGGGAAAAGAGACCATGGATCAGGTGCTGGACTAGCTAGGGGAAAAGAGACCATGGATCGGATGCTGGAATAGCTAGGGGAAAAGAGACCATGGATCGGATGCTGGAATAGCTAGGGGAAAAGAGACCATGGATCAGATGCTGCACTAGCTAGGGGAAAAGAGACCATGGATCGGATGCTGGAATAGCTAGGGGAAAAGAGACCATGGATCAGGTGCTGGACTAGCTAGGTGAAAAGAGACCATGGATCGGAAGTACTTTCGAAGTACAATCAAAGTTAAAGAAGACAATTTCAGAGTAGTTTTGAGTGAAAATAATTAAGAAACCGTATCTCAACTTTGAAATGGTAGAAAAATAATGACTTTTTATGGCATTTTGTCCACCACCTGTTTCAGAACTTAGTAAGAACATTACTAAGGATATTTGTGTAGCTACCGTATATATATGATACTATATAGTGTACCTGTAGCTACCGTGTATATATGATACTATATAGTGTACCTATAGCTACCGTGTATATATTATACTATATAATGTACCTGTAGCTACCGTGTATATATGATACTAAATAGTGTACCTATAGCTACCGTGTATATATGATACTATATAATGTACCTATAGCTACCGTGTATATATGATACTATATAGTGTACCTATAGCTATCGTGTATATATTATACTATATAATGTACCTATAGCTACCGTGTATATAT